AGGCCACGGGGAGGAGTGGGGGGAGGCTGGGCTGGACGGGAGGCCACCGGCACCTGTGCCCTCCCGGGGTGTCTGCATCTTGGTTCTTTAGTTAGTGGAGAGCAGGGTGGGAGTGGTATTGGCAGCTCCTCCTACTGGTAGCTGGGCAAGAAGCATGTTCAGTGCTGCTTGCTTGCTTGATGGGCAGTAACTCTCAATTCAGAGGACACAGATGGAATTCCCGATGGAGGCCTTTGGGCTCTGGCTGGGAGCCCAGGAGGTCTATGAGGATGGCTGGGGAGACTCTGATCGGCTTGAGGTGGGACGTGCCAGAGCAGCAAAGGACCATGTATCCAGCTAAGCCATGACGGCCAAGGCTCACACTGCCCGCCCCCTCACGCTCTCTCCATGGATCTGCTTACTCCCCCCTCCCAGCATCCTGCTGCAAGGCTCCACGGGGACCCTGAGCCTCAGCACATACCGGGGCTGTTGACGGGTGGGTGCCGGGCCTTGGGCTGGGACCACTGAGCTCTGCCCTTTCAGGAGAAGGTGGCGTGGCCTGGTGCCCACGCAGGCAGCAGTCAGGGACCACCTCCCCTCCCTGCACTTCACTGAATCTTTGCCTTTCCATTTCCTTTTCTCACCCTGGTTTGGGTGGGCAGTGGAAATGGAGCCTCAGACGGTTTGGCCCCAGTGCTCTTTCTGCAGGCATGTGGCGATGGAATGGGGGCCATGGGTACTGCCATCTGTGCTGGCATCTGCTGTTGTGCTGTCCAGGTCACTGGCATCCGTCGGTCACCCTTGTATCTGCCCTGGCTTCCTTCCTCCTGCTCTGCTGGTTCTCTCCAGCTCGGGTGCCTGCTCTGGGGTGGGGGGAATCTTATGTGGTCAGCCTGGCCATGGCAGAGGTCACTCTTCCTTCTGCTAGGAACACGAGCCTTGCTCCTCCTGGTGTTAGCTGGAGATGGGCCCTCGGCGAAGGCAGGCTCCTGCCATTCTCAGACTCCTAAAACCTCTCTGGAGTTCTTAATTCCACCTTGTCCCCCGCTACGCCTGGAGTGAGCGGGGCTCAGGGCACCTTCTTGGGCCTGTTGTGCCCCCTCTCCAATCCTCCCCGATCCCTAGCTCCAGGGTTTGGTTTTATTTTGCTTTGTTTTTCCGTGTGTTTTGCCTGGATCTAGGCTGTTGATATTCACAAGCCCGAAATGAGACACGTTGTATTTGGTGACATGGTCCCCCTACCCCACCCCTGAGACTTTGGAGGCAGAGGTCCAGGTACCAAAGGAGAGGAGAAGAGGGGTGCCTGGGCTCTCCTGGGACACAGCACTGGCTAAGGTGGCAGCTGGCTCTCCTGCCCGTCCCTAGGGTCTGGCCTGGGGTCCACTCCACAGATGTAAGGTCCCATCAGAGAACAGAGAACTCCTGAGCTTCCTGTGCTCCTAAAGGGGTTGCCTTCTGTCCTCTCCCTGGGCACAGGGATTCACCTGCAGATGATGACACCCTGATTCTAAATCATGGCCCATCTCATGAACTTGGCACTTGCCCTTCGCCTGCCTGAGCCACCTGTCGTCTTAGGCCAGGTGGGGGCTGCTGTCCCCCGTGGGGCTCTGTGAGGTTTGAATAAGACTCCATGTCAAATGCCTGGCACAGCACCTGTCACACACAGGCACCCAGCAGCATTTGGGGCACCTTCAAGCAAAACCTCAGTTTTGTTCCCCTGGGAGCAGCAAGGGGCCTTGGTTGCTAGCAGGGGAGAGTCATCCGGTCGGTCGGGGCAAAGAGGTAGGTGACCTAGTAAAGAAGATGCTAATTTTACCTCCTCTCGCCCTGCGGCTTCTTCTTCCTCCTGACACCTCCCACTTTCCTCTGGGTATTTGTCAGTGAGATCTAGATGTGGCCTTTGGAAAAGGAAGCGGGTCTAAAGAAGGAGCTGTCATATTCAGACGATCGAAGAATTGTCCCTCACAGCCCTGAACTCCCCCAATTCATTAAATCAGCAATCCCCAAGCTCAGGCCTCCAAGGATCTGGGCAATTTCTTTCTCTTTTACTCCTGCCTTTTATAAAATGTAGAATATTCCCCTAAAAGTTTGCGTGGGGAGAGAGGCAGGGCTTGGGAGAGCTTAGCGCACGTCTTCATCTGTCCCCTACTCTCTGCCGCTGGCATTTAGTAGATGTTCCTTCTCATCTCATTCTGGCAGAACCCTGCAAAGAACATATTGGTACTGTATTTCCGTTCTGCAGATGGAGACGGTGAGGCTCAGAGAATTCGACTGACTTGGCCAGGATCATGGAACCAGCAAGTGGCAGAGCCAGGACTTACCCTGAGAAAGCCCATCTCTGCAGCCCCCCAGGCCGATGGGACAATCAAGGAGCTGGAAGCCGAAAGGGGTCCTTTCACCTCAGTCACATACCAAATGCAGGGCCACCCAGAAGTCAGCTTAGTGCACTTTAGGCTACTCTGCCAGTGTACCGTCCATGAAGGTGAACGAAACCTCATTCTCCAATTGAAGGAGCCTCTTTGTAATGAGAAGACGCCTGACTCTAAACCCAGGGGTAATAAAAGGCATTCATCTGAAGCACTGGAAATAAGGAGAGAGGAGAGAGACTCATTGGGGGATATGCTCTCTGGAATAGTGTTGGAAACAGATGCTCCGTGCCACAAAGAAAAATCAGCACTGAGACAAAGGATCTTTCAGCAATGCAATTTTTACTTCCCGAAGTGCAAGAAGGGTGTCCTCACTAGCCGTCTTGCAGCAAGAGTACAATGAACAAAGAAAAAACAAACACATTTATTCCTTATGCACTTGGGGTTGTCCTTACTACTGTGTCTGATCTCCATTGGCTGGAGTCAGACCTCACAATCTAACATAAAACCCGATTGGATAACAACTTAAAACTTTTCTTAACAGGTAAAAGCAATGGAGACCTGGGACATGCCTGTGAGCATGTCCAGCACAGATATCTTGGTACAAGGATATAGAATGTACTGCAGGCCTATAAGCACGGCATGTCTCACAGCTGCACAGGATATGGCTTAACAAGGAGTTATTAGCACACATATTCTTTAACAAGAAAGGAAACTTGAGAGAGGAACTTTTCTACTTCCCACAAGTAGGAAGCACTCAGGCAAGGCCTTGAAGGGTGAAAAGCAGGATTTAACAGTTGGAAGGATGGAATGAAGGTCTCAAGGCTGTGAGGCCTGCGTGGGCACAGGCACGGGGGTGGGAAAGTCCGTGGTGCTTGCAGACACAACAGTGTTGATAGGGGCTACAGCAAAGTCTTCTAAGAGCGCAGTTCAGGAGCAGGCATTGTGCCTGGTAGCGAAGGCCCCCGGGAGTGCTGGTGTGGTCCAGTTACTACCAGAAGAGGCTGAGTCATAACCCAAGTCCCTGGGGATTAGGCACTGCACCAGTCAATCCAGGTTAGAGGGACGCTCACAGAGCCCAGGTGTCACTGCAGCACAGGAGGGGCTGTGTGAGAGGCAGGTGGCTGAACTCTGCCAGGTGGAGTCAGGGAAGACTTCACAGAGGAGGCGACATCTGAATTTGGGCCTTGACATCTACGTAGAAGTTCGTTAGAGACAGATAGCGAGGGCAGGGCCCTTCCAGGCATAGAGATGGCCTCCTATACCTGGAGGATGAGCATGACCAGGTGTTAGAAGTGGAGACAGGGAAGACACTTATCACAGCAGCACTGCACACTGGCCCCTGCCCCATCAGAACACCCAAGAGGAAGCAAGATCCAGACTGCCGGTCTGAAAACAACTCAAATCTGCCTTGATGATCCAGCAGTTGCTCTTGCTCAGTCACTCGGGGGCCTCCGGGCCAACCAGTTGAATGATCTTGAATGATCACTGCCGTCTCACTTCCCACCTGCCCTGTGCACTGCGGGACCAGGAGGACGCTGGTCTGTGCGGTGGTGCAGGTGGTGTACTCAGGTTCAAGCTCAACCTGAATTCCTGGGTGATTGAATCCGGGGCCCCAGGGGAGACACTGGAGTACCAGATGTCCTGATTAAATTTAAAAAAAAAAAATAGCAGTTTCTAAAACACTTTTATTACTGCCTCCATTTGGAGCTTTAACTTGAGAAAAGGAAACAAAATCATTTTTTTGTGTGTGTGCCTGTGTTTCCTAAGAGCAAAGCCAATTTCTGTTCTCCTTTGAGCAACCTGGAGAGAAGAGGAGGGAGGTCTTCACGCACACAGGCAGAGCTGGTCCTCCACAGAGTGCAGCTTTTCAGGGAGGGGTGATGGCCCTGCTTGGCCCAGTTGCCGTCCTCTGTGCAAGGCTGTCCCTCCAGTACCATGCAGAATAACTGCCGAGATGTCCTTTCTTGCAGACAAGCCACCACCTGGACGTCAAGTCTGAGATGACAGCAGCTCTAAGAGGTCAGTGTGATTTTCAATCAGGAAAAGTCTGTGTGCTCAGACAAAGTCCAGGCCAGCAGGACGCTGTGACAGGTGGGCCGGTGGGGAGATGCCCACTGTCACGTTCATGCTACGAAAACGAATGGGACCCACTTCTCCCTCCTTCCTATGTGGCATCACCTTCTTATTTCACAATGAGAGAACATACTGGAAACATACAGACGTTCAAATTCCTCAGTGCTAGAGTTTCACTCCCAGAAACTCATCCTAAGTAAATAATTCTGTATGTGAAAGCTCTGTGGACGGGCGTGTTCCTACCAGTGCCTTTACAATAGTGAAACATTGGGGGAAACCCTCAGTATTGTTAATGAACCCATACAATCAGTGAAATACAACATAGTCATTAAAATCGTCCTGAGAAACGCCGTGCAACAGCATGGAAATTACCATGTTCTGCTAAGTTTAAAACTGTTAGGATATGGAGTGTTTCATATGATCATAACCGTATAATTCCACGTGCACGTCTGTGTCCGATTTGCAATTTAGGCTAGGACAGCAACTAAAATACCAGCCGTGGTTACCAGAGAGATGGAGAGTGCTTTTTTTGTTGTTCTGTTATTTTTTATTTATATTTATTTTTATATTTTTTTATATTTATTTTTATTTATATATTATTTTATTTATTTATATTTATTTATTTATATTTATATATACTCTGTCACCCAGGCTGGAGTGCAATGGCATGATCTTGGCTCACTGCAACTTCTGCCTCCCGGGTTCAAGCAATTCCCCCACCTCAGCTTCCCAAGAAGCTGGGATTGCAGGCACCCACTATCACGCCCAGCTAAGTTTTGTATTTTTGTAGGGATGGGATTACTCCATGTTGGCCAGGTTGGTCTTGAACTCCTGACCTCAAGTGATCAGCCAGCCTCGGCCTCCCAAAGTGCTGGGATTACGGGTGTGAGCCACCGTGCCAGGCCTATTTTCATTATTAAAAAGAAAATTAAGCCACTACCTGACCAGACAGAGTTTTCCTGGGCCTTGTATTACTTTTATTTTTATTTCAATAGTTTTGGGGGAACAGGTGGTATTTGACTGGGCCTTTTTTAAGCACAGCTAAGTACCCTCAGCGTGGGGGTGTGACGGGACTCCTAAGGATTTGTTTAGTGTTGTGTTCAGGTCAGGTGCTCTGTAAGAAAGTGAAGGAAGTCTGGAGGGTGTTGCCTTTAAGACCGACAAGCTGCTATTGAGATCTGTTCATCTGGTGGTTCTTATTACTAGATTCTATTCTTGCCAGCTGTGTGGTCTTAGATGCATTCATTAACCTCTCTGAGCCATACATGCTTTTAAGAGAAGGATAATATGACCTTCCTCTGGAACGTCTGGCCTCTGGCACAGAGCAGGATGTCAGCACACGAGCGAGCAGAGAGAGCTGTTCTCAGCCCTTGATGCCTCAGGATGGCCTGTGCTGCTCTACCTTCACCTTCTGTCCCTACAGCCTGACTTGGCGCCTGTCCTCGCAGTTGGAGAGGCGCAGATCCTGGCTGCACTGCTGCTGCCACTCATTTTCTACCTGTGGCCCCAGGCAAGGGTCCTCCCCTCTCTGGCTCAGCTTTGTCTCCTTTCAAAGAGGAAATGTACTAGACCGATTGGGTTATTTTTCACTGGATATTTCTGGAGGGCCGCCACGTGCCAGATCCCACATAGCGGTTGCTGGGCTTATGGAGATAAGCCGGCTTGCCAAGGTGGCAGTCCCTGCTTGGAATGAGCTTGCAGCCAGGTAGGGGAAGGTCAGGCAGGCAGGTAGTTTTCTGGTCTGCCCCAAGATCATGACAGCACCATCAGAGGCGTGTGGATGAGGGGCCTGGAGAGCTCAAAGGCATCTGATGGGGCCTCTGCCCCGGGGAGTGGGGTCTGGGAATGATCTGGGAACGGCTAGAGGGTGAAGAAGGTTATGACAGAGACCAGAGTCTTGTAGACTTTTCACCTAGGATCCTGGGCGGAGGCTTGACTGAGAATTTTCCCTTCCAGCTCGGACATACCTCTTGAATCCTGAAATGGACAGTGTCCACCAAAGCCCATTGTCTTCAGAGTCCTGGCCTGTTCCCGAGCCTGAGTGGCCAGCACAGACAGCCCAACTGGATTCTCGGAAGGTGAGAAGGCACCTGTAACCTTATTTCCTAAATGAACTTGGTTATTGAAAGTATAACACACTTAGAGCTTACCAAATTATCCAGGCATTATATACTCAGAAAGACACCGCCAGGTCAAGAAACAGAACACAACCAACTCCCCAGCAGCACCCCCGCCCTGTTTCACCCTCAGTCTCCTTCTGTTATCTGATTTTAATGTTTGTTTCTGGTCAGATCGCGTGTCCTAGGTCTGGTGACTTTTAGTGTGTGCTGAGGCCTGACAGTGTCTCCATCACAGAGGATTTCCTTTGTTCTGACCAGGGCAGGTCACCAGGGCTGAGCCGATGAGGAATTCCAGTGCTCAGCAGGTCTGTTCATGCTCACTCCTAGGGCACAAGAGCCTGTAGAGTATTTCAGAGCCCTTTCCCCTGTTGGCTCCAAGAGGCTGCTCAGTGCTCTCCTTAGCTTTTCACCCCCTCAGCTGGCTCTTTTCTGCACAGACCCTGCCTTCCCCTCGAGGGGAAATACGTCCCCCAAGTGCCCTGCTCACTTTGCTGGAGGAAATTTTGGTCCCACAAGTCCTCACAGCCTTGGTAGCTCTCAGATGGCTTCAGACAAATGTTCTGTTCCATTTACCCCCGGCTTTTCTGGTTGCACATCCTACAGGCTTGGTCCCAAAGACCCTCATCCGTCATTTCCAGAGCAGCACTCCCCTCTGTCTTCCCAGAGAAAACTGACTTTACTTATGAGCTTTGGGATCTGGCAGCTCTGAGTTCAAGTCCCAGCCCTACGCCTTTATGGTTCGGTGTGATGTTGGCCAAGTACTTAATCTGCCTGTACGTAACTCTCACCTGTGAAATGGGGCTGTCTGCCTGCTGCCGTGAGAGGGAGAATTGAGGCAGCAGAGCTGAGTGTGTGCCTGGCGCATCAGAGCCGCTCACGGAAAAAAGGAGAAAGCAGCCATTACTCAGAAGGAAAACTGCTCTTACTCATTTTATTCCAGCCGATTGTATTTTTCTTTCCCTTCTGTTATCCCCACAGCTTCTTTCCTGCCTCCATGATTACATTAATTTATTTTATCTAAAAGATCGGAGAGACAACACTATTTACCTCTCAGGCTTGTTGGGACAATTCAGTGACATCATGCATATGAAGTATTTGTTATAGTGCCTAGAATCAAACATAGGGAGGGATTCAAAAAATGATAGCTATTGTTATTGACCTTAAACTGTTTGTTCAGACTGGCAAATTTCATTTTAAATGACTTCTTATCTAGTAATAAAAACAAAGCATTGGTCGTTCCTCGGAGAATTACCTCTGATTTTTTATTTTGATCTACCTCATCAGCAGCAGGTAGAAGATATTCTAGGCAGGCCGAGTGCGGTGGCTCATGCCTGTAATCCCAGCCCTTTGAGGGGCGGAGGCAGGCAGATCACTCGAGGTCAGGAGTCTAAGACTAGTTGGCTAACATGGTGAAACCCCGTCTCTAGTAAAAATGTAAACATTAGCTGGGCATTGTGCTGCGTGCCTGTAGTCTCAGCTACACAGGGGGCTGAGGCAGGAGAATTGCTTGAACCCAGGAGGTGGAGGTTGTAGTGAGCCAAGATCATGGCAAAGCGAGACTCCATCAGAGAAGGAGAAGGAGAAGGAGAAGGAGGGGGAGGGGGAGGGGGAAGGGAGGGGGAGGGGAAGGAGGAGGAAGAGGAGGAGGAGGAGGAGGAAGAGGAGAAGAAGAAAAGAAGAAGAAATTTCAGGCAAAGGGAACCCTTGCAGAGATGGGAGGGTGAGTGTCCATGAGGCATTTGGAGGTGTGGCAAGCAACGTCGCTGGAGCATAAAGTATGAGGAGGTAGAGGGGGGACTCAGGGGACTAGAAGGAGACAGTGATGATGATGATGGCATCAGCAGCGAAACAGAAAACACTCACACCCAAATCTTACTGCACTGGCATGGGCTCATCCAGAACTACAAAGGGCCCACCAAATAGAAATCAGCATCAGCCCCCTTCACCTGTGAGAAAAGACGAGGCACTGAGGAGGCAACGGTCACCCAGCTGGCAAGCAGCAGGGCTGGGCTCCCAATCCGGGCTGCCTGGCTCCAGAGCTGGCCCTCCCATCACTGTGTGGCCAGATGGTGCATGGCCTGGATGGGGAGGGGTTGGGGAGAGAGGAGCAGTCCCTTCTCCCTGCCTCGAAGTTCCAGTCTGGAGCTCAATGTGAAAACAAACCCTCCAATGTCTGCTGTCAGTGATACTGGCCAGAAACCTGTAGCAAAGCTTTTGGGGAAATAGGTGGAGTAACATTGCATGAACGAATAAACCGAAAATGCATCTTAACACTCCTGTGGTTCCAAGTTTCTCAAGTGTTCTTCAATTTTCTTCAAAGTTATCACCACAAACACAGAATGCCACTGGACTGAAAACCCGTCCTCTGTTGGAAATCATTTCAAGTCCGTAGAGGACTTCTGTTTCTTTGCAGTAAGGTGGCAGAATGTCAGTGTAAATGTTTTTCCCATGCTTTACACAGCACCTGCCCACAGGAAGCCTTCGGAAGCTCTTGTTGGGTGAGTAGTTAGCTGGAGACAGGGGCCATCAGGCTCCTTCTCTGGGAGGTGCACGGCACCTGCTCCTGGTTCCCCGCACTGCCTTTCCACCGCAGTCTTGGTTCTGTCTGCTCGTCATGAGCCCTGGGCAAAAACAGACTGCAAGCCACATATCTGGGCTGGTTTTGGGGAAGAGCTTCCCATGATGAAAACAAACTTGTTAAATAATGACACCAGGGGATTAGTGACCTACAAGGAAAATTAGGTCATGGAGTTTTGAAGGGCAGTAACTAAATTTGTCACCTGCCACCCAATTCTATTACTGTGTGGTTGGGCTTAGCAAAAAAAAAAACGAGAAGAAAGCTTTAAGCGCACACAAACATGTCCTGAAAAGGCTGACAAACCTTTAGTGAATGAGGAGATGTTCAGCCCTCTGTGACATTAGCCTCATTCTACCACTAACCTACTGAAGACCAACACTATATCCCTGGGTTCACCTGTCACTGTGGTGTGGAATCAGGCAGGCTTGAGAGCCATGCGGCCAGGGTTCAAATCTTGCAGCAGGCTCCTATTAGCTGCGTGGCCTTGGGCACATCACTTAACCTCTCTGGGCTTCCATTGCTTCACCTGTATGATGGAATAATAAGAATAGCACTTGTCTCCTTGGTAGTTTGTAAAGTTGCAATGAATCAATACATGGAAAGCACTCGGAATGATGCATCATAAGAACTTAATAGGCCGGACGCGGTGGCTCACGCCTGTAATCCCAGCACACTGGGAGGCCGAGGCGGGCAGATCATGAGGTCAAGAGATCGAGACTATCCTGGCCAACATGGTGAAACCCCATCTCTACTAAAAATACAAAAAATGGCTGGGCTTGATGGCTTGGCCTGTAGTCCTAGTTACTCGGGAGGCTGAGGCAGGAGAATTGCTTGAACCCGGGAGGTGGAGGTGGCAGTGAGCCAAGATTGCGCCACTGCACTCCAGCCTGGTGCCTGGCGACAGAGCAAGACTCTGTCTCAAAAAAAAAAAAACAAAAGAACTCAATAAATGTTCACTGTTGTGGATCAAACCCTAGGAAATTGCCGATATTATACTACTCTTTCCCTCAAAAACAGTAGTTTCACACGGCTTAAGCTACCATTATAATATTTATTATTATTTTGAGGTAGAGTCTCCCTCTGTTGCCCAGGCTGGAGTGCAGAGGCACGATCGCCTCCCAGGTTCGAGTGATTCTCCTGCCTCAGCCCTTTGAGTAGCTGAGATTACAGGCACGCACCACCATGCCCAGCTAATTTTTGTATTTTTAGCAGAGACAGCGTTTCTCCATGTTAGCCAGGCTGGTCTCGAACTCCTGACCTCAGGTAATCCACCCACCTCGGCCTCCCAAAGTGCTGGAATTGCAGACGTGAGTCATCGAGCCTGGCCAACTATCATTATTATTATTATTATAAGATGGAGTCCTGGCCAGGCATGGTGGCTCATACTTGTAATTCCAGTACTTTGGGAGGCTAAGTTGGGCAGATCAAGAGGTCAGGAGTTCGAGACCAGCTTGGCTAACATGGTGAAACCCTGTCTCTACTAGAAATACAAAAATTAGCTGGGTGTGGTGGTGTGCACCTGTAGTCCTAGCTACTTGGGAGGCTGAGGCCGGAGAATCGCTCCAACCTGGGAGGTGGAGGTTGCAGTGAGCCAAGACCACGCCTCTGCACTCCAGCCTGGGTGACAGAGTGAGACTCTGTCTCAAAAAAAAAAAAAAAAAAAAAAGGTGGAGTCCAGACTCCTAAAGTTGGTGTTCGCATTCCATGCACACATCAGTCAGCCCAGAATGACCTTGCATTTTTAAGATAAAGCAGAATCCTGCTCCTTCCCAAAAGTTGAGCTCAGAGGCAGCCTCCGTGAGGCCTTCCCAGCCCCGCAGTGAGCATTCGGCACTTTTGCCCTGGAGGCTTCATCGGCACCTGTGTGGGTCTCTCTTCGGGCTTGAACACTCCAGCATAATATCGATTTTATGTGCCTGCCCCTCCCACTGGATTGGAAGTGCCTTGAGGGCAGGGACAAGGTCAAGCTTGGCACACAGGGAGGTGGTCAGTGATCGCTGATTCCCTGCCTCTGTTGTCCAGCCTCTTTTTCAGCTGTCTTCCACCAGTGAGGCAGAAGGCCCTGAGTATTGCAAATTTGCGGCTGCTCTTGCCTCCTGGGACTGGTGAAGAATTCTGCTCCATTCTGCTCCTCTGCCTGGCAAGGCACAGACACACCTGCCACACCCTTTAGCGGGGGGAGAAGAGGTATTAGCAGGACTCACATGTTACTGGGTGAGGCGGTCCTTCCTGTGGTTTGCAGGGAAGGTGCCTGAGAGGTGTGGATCACAGGTCTAATCGTGACTGGAAAGGGGCTGTAGAAAGAGCGGAGATTTGACATCAGATGGGCCTGGCTTCGAATGCAGAGCCAGCCACTCAGAGCTGCATACATTTAGTGAAGGCTTTTAGAATCTTTTAAACTGTTATGTGGGTTTTCATCTGTAAAGTGGGCCTGATGATAGCTCATTGGGGGAACTAAGTAAGGGCAAGTAAGATGGCACATTTGGGGGAAGCCCTGGGATGTACTAGGCATGAGGCCTGCTGCCAGCAAGACATTAGTTCCCCTTTGAAGAGAAGGTCACTTTCTCTTGTCACTGGGAAGGAGAACATTGATGGAAGACATCCTTCTACAGGAACACCCGCTCCTGACTGTGTTGCCAGGCACCTGCTGCGTGGGGTGGAGTGGGAGCCTCATCCTGCCCCATGCTCGTTTCTGACCCAGAACACAGTGATGGCAGTGTGTGTCTCACTGAACTGTCACCAAAGGAAGTGAGCCAATGCGTGAGGAGCATTTGGTGCCAAGCACAGAAAGTGCCCCTAGCTGTTAGGTATCGTTGTCACCTCTTTCTTTGATTAAATGTGTGAACAGAGAGGCTTTTACAAACATGTGGGCGCAGAGACTATTTCATTGTCCTCTTGTCTGCAGCTCTTTCTGTCCTCGGGATCCACGCTTGATCCTGGAACGTGCCTGGCTATGGTCACCGAGGAATCAGGACTCCCCGCACAACGTCTGCAAGAAAAAAGGGGAATGCCCCGTCCTGCCCTCCACGCCGCTAACGCCCCAGCACCCTCCGAGCTCCTGAGCCCAGCGAGGATCCTGGCTTTTCACCAAGAGCTTAGACAAAGCATTTGCAGCAATTCCCAGGTCCATAAATCACCACTGGAGTTCTAACTGTAATAGGACCACTCGTTCTCCGGAGCCATTTCATAGACTCCATAAATATTTGAAGCAGAACCTTCAGAGAGTGCTTTAAGAAATTGGTAGCAATCAAAGCCCTCATTTAGTGGCAAGTGGTTTTGCCTTCGGCTTAGGGATTTGTGTTCATTGTCAGAGCTTGAGAGCAATGCTGGAGGGTGCCTGGCACCTTCTGAGGGGCGTGGCTTCGGCGATGTCAAGGAGCGCAGGAAATACTTACTGCACCGGAACCTATCGAATGAGTGGTCCGGAGGTTCTCAACTGGGTGCAGCTTTAGCCCCCCAGGGAAAATCTGGCCTTGCCTGGAGACACTTTTGGTCATCACAGCTGGGACACTTCTGCTGGCATCTGGTGGGTAGAGGCCGGGGAAGCTACCAAACATCCTACAACACCCCAGCCAGCCTCCTATGGCAAAGATTGACAGTCCCAGTGCCGCCAATGCTGGGATGGTGAGCCCGGGACGGATCTCACAGCTGCGAACACGATCGGCCATGGAGAATTGTTTTGTTATTTTTCTGCCCCCAGGCTCCCTCCCGTGTTCTAAGGGATTTTCGTCTATTAAATGAAGCACCTAACTTAAGTCATTATACATTTTACATTTAAAAACATTAAAACTGACCAGAACTTTCTAGTCAGTCCATTCACTCCAAAAACATCTGTTGATACCCACTCTGTGCCAGGCAGTGTGGCATGAAGGGGAAAGAGATGCGTCGGTGTTGATCCCGGCGCCGGGGACCTCACAGGACAGTGGGAGAGACTCCTGTGAGTAAATCCGCGTGCACGCAAGTGTCACACGTGCACTGAGAGACGGGAGGAATGCAAGGGGCAGTGCTACGTGGCTTGGAAGTCAGCCACAAAGGAATGGCTGGGCAGCATCCTGTGGGTGAGGTGGGAAGGGCGAGGCTGGAGGAGGGAACGCATGTGCAAAGGCCCTGAGGCATAAACCTGAACTCTGGATGTGTCCCTTGGAGGCGGAGTGGGCAAAGCGTACTCTTATCAAGCGAGCTGCAAGCAGTCACTGCCTCATTCCCATCCAGAACCCCTTCCTTCCCCCGAGAAGAGAGACTCAGGTGGTTGACCCAGGAGAAGAGTACTTCCCTCCTGAGGGCAGCCCCCCAAAAACGGAGTCCAGGGGGCTTGGACCACAGGCACCAGACCCTGACCCAGGCTCACCCACAGAGCTGTCACCTCTCTCTTTGGGAAGGGGCTGACGAGGGGCTTGAGGGAAAGGTCAGTGCTACCCGTCCAATTCTGTCCCGTCCTGGAGTGGCTGTCCCTTCATGGAAGGACAAAGACAAGGACAAAGAGCTGAGGGTTCCCCGGATTTTACATAGTTTGGCATTTTGTTGTGAAATGAAAATTACACAGAGTTCCCATGGGTTCTTCCCCGGGCTTCCCTTGATGTCAGCATCCCATGTGACTTACAATTATAGAAACTAGTGGGTTTTATTTTGAGGAAAATTGGGGAGCCATTGAGACATAAGAAGAGCAGCCTCGGCATATGGAGTTCCACCCTTTAAATTAGCTTGTGGGGTTTTCTGATGGGTTAGCACATTCATCCATTCATTCCTGGATTGATTTACCCACAGATCCGTCATTTATTTATTCGATCTGCATTTAGTGACGGCCGTGTACATCTGGTTAGATGCTGCTGGTCAACAAGCAAAGATGATGCTGTCCACTTAGGCTTTCAGGGACCCCCTGGAGACCCTGTGGCCCCGTTACCACCCCTCAGGGAGTCCCAAGACTGGAAAGCACCACAGTGATCCCTCTGCCGGTTCGACCACCCCAGCGCCTCGCTGTAATTTCCAAGCCGGAAGTGACCTGCAGCGCTGGTTTAGTGATCTGCCTTCTGCCTCCCTCTGTATGTTGGGACAACATCATTAGCTTTGAGCATCAGGAACATGATGGAGAGGGGACAGAAAGCCAGTGCAGTCGAGGACAGCCAGCTGAGCCCTTGCCGAGTCGGCGAGATGCAGCTTGGTGCCACCACACTTGGTCTCCAGGACTGCCGGGAGCTCAGACGTTGGGCATCTTGTCACTTCATGCGCCCCCCGTGCACTCATGTGCTGGGCCTGGGCAAAAAGGCAACCCAGGAAATCCATTAAAGCAAGCCAAGACGATCTTCACAGCTTAACCCAACGATTCCCTAATAAATCATGTTTCCGAGACAGAAGCCAGTTATTCTTCCGGGCCGTGAATCCCGTCTGGGACTAGCACTTTGAGTCAGCTCCAGCTTTGTGCCCTGGCTCCCTGGGCACTTCTGCAGTGCAGCATGGCGGACTCCTGCCTTCCCCTGGCCTGGTCTGTAGACCCCAGCCCTTGGAAGGGTACACGGACGCTCCCTGCACCCATCAGATGCCCTGGGGCAGACCTGCTCTGGTGACCCAGCGGATTCAGGCAAGAACTTGGCACACAGGAGCTGGTCTCCGGCTGCCCCACGGGCAGGGAATGACTCTACCAGTGACCCCGAGGCCTCTGGAGACCAGCCAGACATCCAGCCTGGGTCTGCAGCAGAAAACGATTTGTCACAGGACTGTCAGCAAACAACAATGGTTGACTTCCCTGGCGGCGGAGCCCTAAACCCTGCGAGGTAAATGCACCCCTCCCCCACTGCACAAAGGGACCCCATCTTGGCTTTTAGGCAAATCAGAGGAGAGGGTTGCCTTGGCCTGAGGCCAAGCAGCAGAAGCATTAGCCCAAGGTCCCTTCCTGCTGCCTGGCTCATTTTCTTGTGCTCCTGGGAGGCCTTCTGCTTAAGCTGCAAAGGAGTTCTGCTCAGCAGATGTTTCTCTGAGCACCTGTCAGGACAGGTGAAGGGCTGGGGGCTGGTCACAGGGGTCTCACTCCAGGTTCCTGTCCTCTAGGGTTTGCTCTGATGGAGTGATATGAACAGGGACAACACAAGGCCCAGGGGTCATTGAGTTGGTGACTGACCAGTGAGCAATCAGGGAGGGCTCCCTGGAGGAAGTGCCCTCTGAGTTGAGTCCTGGAGATGAGCAGGGGTCAGCCAGGGAGAGGAGGTCTCCAAGGCAGGGGAAATCATGAGCAAAAGCCCAGGTAGGGTTGGGGTAGGAAATGGTAGTAGACATACATGGCTTTCTGTAATCCTGGAGTGGAAGGTTCCAGAAGGAAGACATTGGCTTATGATCCTACTGTGTGACCCTCTCTGATGTTTCCACAGTGAGGAAATCACCTAACCATACACTTTGTACCACCGGTGTCTGTGATTATATGTGTGGCCGTGTATCTGAGGGTAAACTGCTAAGAGGAAAAGGAGGTTAACGTTTGTCATTCTGTTGGCCTTGGCCAAACTCCGTTCCTCGCCCCTCTTTGAAGTCCCAGCGGGTTTTGCATCTACTTGCAGAGCTGGGGGATGCCTGGGGTCCCCAGGCCTGCCAGCACCCACCTGTGACGTGTGGATTCCATTCAGCATCACAGACAGGGCCCTGCGCTCACGGGATGCTTCTGAGTGGGGTGATGGGAGTGAGGAAGCAGGTGTTTGCTTCCTGACTGCACCGGCGGGACCAGCTGTGCCTCCATCTGCAGGTGCTCACAGGCAGGACTGACCTCAGCTGGGGCTGGGATCTGGCCACCCGGGATGGCTGATAGAGCACTGGACAGTTTGGAGGCTGAGGGAGCCGCTGAGAAGTGACCTTTGGGCTGAGCCAGGAGGGCTGACATAGTCCTGCATTCCTATCCCCAACCGCCATTCAGCAGCTATGGGCCCTGTGCCCAGGCCCCTTGAGGCTTAACTTCCTCCTGGGAAATGGAAATTACAGCCCCGAGACATCATCTTATCTCATGGAGCCTTGAAAGGTATCACGTGGCCAGTGCCCGGAGGTGGCATTTACAGCCCAGGTGTGTGACCACCCCTCGTCCTTTCTCCTGTAACGCTGGAGGCAGGTGACCTGGGAGCCAAGTTCACATCCCAGCTCTTCCCTTTACCCCACCTCTTCCTGCCTCGGTGATCTCGTCTGTAAAATGGGGATGCCTGCCTCCAAGGGCGGTGGCGAGGCGTGAGTGGCTTAACATCTGTGAAGCTCTCAAGGGAGGCCCTGCGACAGGCACAGAGCTGCGGCCATGCTGCCACTGCTTTATCTCCGTGCGGGTCATTTTTACAAAACAGAACGGAAATGAGTCACTCAAGGCGAGGGTGGGAAGGAGAGGTGGGGGCGGGCGCTCAGAGGGAGACTTGCTCACAGCTGAAGAGCTCAGGAGGAAGACAGCAGGGGCCGGAGGGAAGCATGGCTGCTGCTTCGGGCCTGTGCACGGGGCGGGTCGGCAGTGGTCTGCAGGGGCTGCAACCAGCCTGGCCAGAGGTTTTCTTCTCAACTTTTACCCCGAGAGTAACAGGAGCTCAACCTCTGTGGCTTCTGGGTTGCAAGACCCTTCTCTCAGGTCTCTTCCAGCCAGCATCTCTGGTCCCTTCCACTGGTTCCACCGATCCGTCTCTTCCGGAACAGCCTTTCCCTTGGATTTGAGGTTGTTTCGTCTGGGTCTTCTGAGGTGGGCTGAGCTGGGCATCTTCCTTTCCCTAAATGTCCGCGTGTGTTTAACTGAAGGAATTTGCATCCCTGCTGGTTGGGCCAGTACCTTTTACTTCATTCAACCCTTTTAAAAATGAATGAATGGAATATAGGCTGGCACGTGACACTCCAGAGCCCTCTCCTCCCATGCTCTGCCTGTCCAGGGAGGCCTACTTGGGAGTAGGGGGCAGCTGTGCTGCCGGGAGCTGATCCCCCTCCCCCATCCTCCCAGTCCATCTTTTCTCCTCTCCTCTCCCTCCCAACACACATCAACTCCCTCCTCAGCTGCAGAATCTCAGCCCATTGCTCCCTGGGGCCCTCGAGCAGTGGCTCTACCTGAGTGGCCGAGAGTAATTTAGCACCAGGCAGCAGGTGCAGGGCTGAGGGCAGGGGTGGGGGGAGCTGGGCTCTCCAGCTGCTGCTGCTTCTCCACGCCCAGCCTCGGGGCTGGATTCCTGGTGTTTGCTGGACACTGGACAGACCCCAGATCGATGCCCCACCCCCAGCCTGACGCACACAAGGGGGGCTGCAGGCAGAAGCCTAGAGTAGCCACCCCCCATTGTCACTGATAGTCCATCCATGGCACACACTGACGGCTGTGGGCCTCCTGTGTGCTGCTGCTGTCCTGGAAGTCGGGGAGGCACAGCTGGCTCCTGGCCTGCTGCTGGGTGGGGCTCACTATCAGGCAGCAGGAGCCAAATGGGCATTGACCCTGCTCTTCCAGAGCTACTGCGTCTGGTTGTTCAGGTTGTGTCCTAAGCAAGGCATTTGGTCCAAGGGCAGAAGGGGCTGAAATCCAGTCATACTCTCTCCTTGGGCTGTGCCTGTCTGGAAGAAAAAGAACCTTTTTACAAGTTTCTGCAGAGGCTGCCTCAGCTGTCCTGGCCAAGCCCTGCCACCTGTGTTCACCTGGAGCGGGCATCTTTTTGCAATTCTGCACAAAGGCACTGTGTGGCCCAGCACAGTGTTTTTTGCTGACTCAGACCTAGCAGTGCTGAGTCAGCAGCCTGGGGTGGGCAGGTCTTGGGGTCTCCGAGGCCTCCCAGCAGGTCCCTCCAGCTTATACAGTGCCGGAGGGACCAGACCTGCCCCCATGCACCCTCCTGCCAGACTCAGGAGGTTGGCACTCTCCCAGGTCTCGCCCTGCGAACAGTCCTGCCATGGGATGATGGGACGGTGCTCTCTGCTCACAGAGGGATTAGCACACTGTTGTCACTGTGTCCTGCCTTTTATTCCCAAATCATCCCAGAACCTGCATCCTGGGTCCTCTGTTAGGAGGTTACTGTGACTCCAGCCACGCCCAGCCTGAGGCCAGGTTGGTACCGGACAAGGACCCAAGGCAGTGGAGGTGATTGTGGGGCTGCTACTTTATGGCTGTGTGTCTCTAGGTGAGTCATATAACCTCTCTGTGTAAATCAACTGCAGCCATAATATTACCATGTAACAAACCAGCCCAGACTCAGTGACTCCCAACCATTCTTCCTCACTCTCAGATCTGCAGCTGGGCTAGGGTCCAGCTGACCAAGCTGGGCTCAGCTGGGAGGCTCTGCTTAAGGCAGAGGGGGCTGGGATTCAGGCCTGCTCCACACCAGAGTAAGTAGTCACGTGAACATCAGCGGGGCGGGGGCTCACACTCCTCTGCTGTGGCAAGAGGAGGGAGAACTGACAGCCCCCAGCCTCCTGCCTCTCACACAACACCCCATGCAGGACAGGGGTTGAGGCCAGAAGCAGCCTCCCGAGGACAGGGCTCATCACAGAGGAAGCGCCCAGCAGCTTTCGGCTCCCTTCGGCTATTCCTTGAATAGCTTCACAATGGCATAAAATATTTCCAGGAAAAAACAAAACTTATGACAGGGAATTCAAGTGGAGTCAGGGGTGGGAGCGCCCAGCCGGTGCCAGAACTGGCTGTCTTTGGAGGAGGGAGCGCCCCGTATGTGTGGGGGGGGGACCTTCGCCTGTCTGTGGCCTTCTCTGAGCGCGCTCCATCTTCCCCTGGAAACTGGGCCTTGCCTCTGGCTTCTTCCTGTGGGTCTAAGCAGAGACATCCAGAAAAGAATGATGGCGTCCACAAAGGAGCCAGCTAGTTTCTTTTTTTGATACTTGAACTTTTAGGCAGTTTGGAATATCTCCCCCCAGGTTCCCTTAAGGAAGGGAGGTGGTGAAGGAAGGGGTGGATGCAGTGGATGGAGGTCCCCAGCGAAGGCCCATCCATCCGCAGCCAGGTGCGGAGCGGAGGGCCCCCTGACTGTGCCTCCTGGGGCCAGAGACCAGCCCCGCAGCTTCTGAGGAGGGGCCAGCCAGTGCTCATGTGCTTCGCCCTGCTCCCTCTCCCTTGCTCTGAAGGCACCTGCCATCCCCGCTGCCAACGCTGCCAGAATTCTGGGGTACAATTCAGCTGGCTTCCCGTTGGCTTTCTGCACAAATTCAGGAGTGCAAAGAAAGCTGAAAAGTGGCTTAACTTCTGTTCTCCTGCTCTTCGCATCTATCTATTTATTTTCTATCTATCTATTTGCCTATCTATCATCTATCTATCTATTTTTGTTTTTTATTTTTTTATTTTTTTAGACAGAGTCTTGCTCTGTTGCCAGGCTGGAGTGCAGTGGCGCATTCTCGGCTCATTGCAAACTCCGCCTCCTGGGTTCACAGGATTCTTCTGCCTCAGCCTCCTGAGTAGCTGGGACCAGAGGCTCGTGCCATCACACCCGGCTAATTTTTGTATTTTTAGTAGAGACAGGGTTTCACCATGTCAGCCAGGATGCTCTCGATCTCTTGATCTCGTGATCTATGTATCTTCAGATCCGCTCCATCAGCAGGTCTTGTCACCTCCACCCAGTACCCAGCTGCCTCTTATCACTCCTGACCCTGTTTTGTTAGCAGCCCCATCCCCAGTCACAGAACGGTGCCTGGCTCCTCCTAGGGCTCAATACATGCTTGTCGAATGACTGCATGAATTAGTTGCTCATTTTATTTTATGGTACTTCCAAGCATATATTTTATTATATCTCACTGTCTCTAATGCAAGTTCTGTTAGATGAGAAAATATGATCATCTTTTTTTTTTTTTTTTTTTTTTTTGAGACTGGGTTTTTCTCTGTCCCCAGGCTGGAGTGCAGTGGTGCAATCTCAGCTCACTGCAACCTCTGCCTCCCAGGTTCAAGCAATTCCCTTGCCTCAGCCTCCCGAGTAGCTGGGACTACAGGTGTGTGACACCATGCCTGGCTAATTGTTGTATCTTTGTAGAGTTGTAGTTTCACCACGTTGGCCAGGATGGTTATTTTCGCCTTGAGAGTAGAGAGGATAAGAAGGCATTGGTTCAGGGAAGAGCAGAGGAGGAGAGGGATTGCAACCCTCTATGCATTGCCGGATTGCCACCAGCTGCTGAAGGAGGGGAGGGCCTGGGTATTGCAGGGGTTGGGGAAGAGGTCTGGATTAGCGAGAAGGTAGGTCGGACAGAGCAAACGGAGAAGAAACCAGAAGCGTGGAGGGTGGCAGAGCAAGGAGACTTTAGACTCACTCTTCAGCTTTGAAATTTAACTTTTCTGTTGGAAGGACTGTTATTTATTTCATGTCACCTGTCTTAGTCCATTTATTAGGGAATTTTATCTATGCCATTATTATTTGGGTTGTAAATTTCACCTCATAGATAAAGTAACTTCCTTTCTCAGCTTCACATTTGTGTTTCTTAGCTCATGAAGGTTATTCTGAGTGTTGGTTTTCAGGGTAATCAACAATAACTTGGAATGAGACAGACTGGGAGACCAGTGCAGATCCGTCATGAACTAGCTTTGGGATCTAAGGTGACGTAACCTCTCTAAGCCTCAGTTTCTCATGACCTCAGGTGATCCACCCGCCTTGGCCTCTCAAAGTGCTGGGATTACAGAGTTGAGCCACTGCGCCCAGCCCGTTTTAACCCTTTAGCACATTAATTTACATTCCCATTTTAACCTTTAAATGCATTTATTTACATTGTTGTTCAGCCGTCACCTCCATCCACCCACAGAACCCTTCTCATCTTCCCAAACTGAAACTCGGTTCCCATTAAACCTCATTCTCATCTCCCCAAGCTCCTGACAACCACCACTCCAACTACTCTAGGGGCCTGATCTAAACAGAATCACATAATATTTGTCCTTTTGTGAGCAACTGGCTTATTTCGCGTATGATAGTGTCTTTGAGGTCCATTCTGTTGGAGCGTGGGCCGGAATTTGCTTCTTTTGAGGATGAAAAATCTTCCCTTGCATGGAGGAAGCGCATCTTGTTTGTCCATTCATCCATCCGCGAACACGGCTGCTGTGTCTTTAAAGTCTTTTCATCTAGAGCGTCTGCCTCCTTCTCTTTTTATTTTCTTGCTGTTGGGGAAACCAGGTCACTGTCCTACAGCTGTTCACGTGTCCCTGCGGTAGTGTTTGCTGTGCTCTCCCTTCCTCTGTCCTTGAATTGGCCACTGGCTCTAGAGCTTTGATTTAATACAGATTCAATGTTTTTTTTTTTTTTTTTTTCAAGACTCCTTTAAAGATAGTGTTACGTTCTTCCATCAGGGGGCATGTGCCTGGCTCTCTCTCTTTCTTTCTTTCTTTCTTTTTTTTTTTTTTTTTTTTGGTTTTTTGAGACAGGGTCTCACTCTGTTGCCCAGGCTGGAGTGTAATGGCATGATCTCAGCTCACTGCAACCTCTGCCTCCCAGGTTCAAGCCATTCTCCTGCCTTAGCCTCCCGAGTAGCTGGGATTACAAGGGCCTGCCACCACACCTGGCTAATTTTTTGTATTTTTAATAGAAGCAGAGTTTTATCATGTTGCCCAGGCTGGTTTCAGTCTCCTAACCTCAAGTGATCCAACCACCTTGGCCTCCCAAACTGCTGGGATTACAGGCCTGAGCCACCGCGCCCAGCCCTGGCTGCCTTTCTTTCTGTGATGTTCGCATCCTAATGCCCAATACCTAGATCATGAACTCATTAGTGAGGAATTCGAGATGTCCTATGATATCATTCTCTTATCACGTCTCAGCTGGAACACGCCCCCTTGCCTGCCCTTCAGTTCCTCGGCTAATTCAATTTTCGCACCTGCAAAGCTTACGGGCTGTGTGAGCCTTGCTCTCTCAGTCTCCAGCATTTACTGCATGCCTGCTCTGTGCCTCTTGCTGGGGTCACAGAGAGAAGTCCCCAACCCCCTGGGTGGTCACAGACCCACGGGAGAGTAAAAAACCTCCTGCTGAAGACAGCAAGGAGGTGGATTCGTCCCAAATTGACCATGGAGGCAGAGGCATGATAAAATCCTGTGGGCGCACATAGGGGACAGTCCCTCCTGGAAATGAAGGGCGCCTGGAAGAGGTGCCTGCATCTGGATGCGTCTGATGTCGTGCAGAGGCTCAGCTGGCTGGCGGGGACCCTGGGGGCTGGGCCTGACAGCTCCCACTTTTCGACTTTCTAAGTTTAGTTTTTTGAAACTGAAAGCAGATAAAGCAGTCCTGACTTTATCTTGGGTTCCCAGCGGGATGATCCAGCTGGCATCCTGAGGTTTGCTCCGATCTCCGGGACTTGGAGGAGTGCGAGGCTACAGCCTGGATGAGGCCACATCTGGGAGTCCCGTGGGAGTGACAAGGACCTCAGAGGCAGCAAAAGCCTGGGAGGCCCTCGGCGCTGCAGTGCGGTCACTGCCTCTGCCTCTCACCAGTGGAGATGTAAGGGGCTCCCTAGCCTCCCACGCGCTGTTTTCCCATCTGCTGCATGAGCTTGCATTCTGCACGTGGCTGTACGGGTAGTTCTGGAGGCTGAATTCTTTTTCCCCAAGGCACCCCAAGCATCACAATTATTTAGGTCTTTTCCTCCTACGGTGAACTTCCTGTCCCATCAGCCACCTCATCCAATAGCGTTTGCCTGTTCCAGGGCCATGAGCATTGGGTTCTTCTCAACGAATCTGCGACCCTACTGGGTTCTTGATGTGAAATTCCCAACTCTGCTAAAATTGGGGTCAGTAAGGGAGGCCATTCTTGGAGGTCATGCGGCTCACCTTCCTCGTCTCATGAATGGGGTCTCAGCAGGAAAGAGGTGACGAAGGGACTGTATTTGTTCAAATAATAAAAAGAAGAAGAAATTAATACATTACTGTTGAAAGTGTGACACCTTTCATTTTAACAGGGTCCATGAATGAGAGTGGGAATCCCGATGGGGTGGAGGCCAAGTCTGTGACTTTCCCCGGCTGTCATCTTTGTTTAGATGGAGGTCTCTCCAAGGGCACTGGCCAAGAGCACTGCGTGTTTTATCACCTCCATGTCTTTTATCATATTCAGCACAGGGGGTGCATTGAAAGTCTAGGGGTTTTGGGTGTGTGGAGAAGACACTGAACCCTCCTGCCTGTCCTTTCCAGATCCCCTCAAGCCCCGGCCTGGCTGCCATACCCCCTGCCCCAGGAGCTCCTTCTGTAGCTGACTGCACGCTCCTGGGAAGCAGAGGCTGTGTCCTGCTCAGGGGCAGGACAAGTGGTGAACAGAGTGGCAAGCACAGGAATCAGTGACTACCCTAGGGTCAGAGGGCAAGGAGAGGATGCTGCGGCTCCAGGAGGCTGGGAGAGCTAGAGCTGGGGCCTGTCGTAGAGAAGCCTGGCCGCTGCCGGACCTACTCCTGATGGGGTGGAGAGTAAGTTCTAGAACCTTCTGTCCTCCCTTTCTCCAGCCTCCTCCTTGTGCCTCCCCTTGGCTGAGCCCAGCTGGAAGCCAGAGGCCAAGGGAGCCAGGGATGTCATCCTTGGGGTCAGCATGCTGGGGCCAGAGAATGGATGAAACTGGGGCCAAGAGGGCAGAGCCACAGCCAGAAGGACAGCCAAGTGTCAGAAAACACTGGGGGCAGATGCACCGGCCCCAGGTCCCACCCAGCCCAGGGCCCAGCCTGCTAGCTGGTCGAGAAAAATGCGAGTTTCCTTCAAATGGCGAACAGAAGCAACTGAGAAGGCAGCAAGGCGGTTGATGGTAAGGAGGCAGGAGCCGGGGCGAGTCTGATTTGCACCTCCTTGGGCAGGCCCCACCCTTCCGGCCTCTGTTCCCTCCTTGCCAGGCTGAAGGCCTTGGAAGAGATCCCACCTCCCAGACTACACAGGGCCCCATGACTCATTTTGCTTGTTACATTCCATGTGGGTCTCCCATCTGCAGATGCCAGGCTCACATTCAGGAGGCATGTTTGTGAACGAAATGGGAGGTTTGCCCTCTCCAGGCACTGGCACTCTCACCAGGCCACTTAAATGCAGGAGAAGACACAGGAAAATGAAGTGAGTCCCCTGAGATGTGGCCTCAGCCAGGGCCTGGGTACCAGCGGCTGTGGGGTCCTCTGGTAACGTAGGGACCAAGCTGAATCATGAATAGCCCTGTAGGAAAATGGATTAAGAGGTCATGCAGGTGCCAAGCAGTCAAATCCGAACTCTGCTTACTAAGGAAAACCCTTGCCCTCTGCCTCAGCTTGCTTCATGAAGTGGGGACTGGTGGGCTCAGGGGACCTGGAGCTTCCTCCCTCAGTCCGGGGTACCAGCCCACGTGCACTCCACTGCTAGATTCACTGGCCGGGGGAGAATCATTTTGGAAATCTGAGGACAGGTGTGGCGCCCTGGTGTGAATTTCAGCCATGCCACTTACCAGCTACAAGATCTGGGGAAGGTGCCTCAGTGGCCTTGTGCCTCTGTTCCCTTCCCTGTGAAGTAGGCTTTGGTAAGGAGTAAGTCAATCAGGAAGCTGGCTGGCTTATCCATCTTTGGTGCCTGGAAGTGTTAGTCCTCTCCTCTCTGATCTCTCTTTCCTGGGGAAGTCTTCCCAGATCCTCCACCCTAGGCCAATGTCCTGTTCTGTTTCCTTGTCACCTGCCTGACTCCCAGCAGGCTGCCTGCTCCTCAAGGGCATGGATGCGTTTGGTTCATGTGGGCACCAAGCTGAATCTTTATCCTCCATCCCAGCACAGGCCTGGCGTGGGGTGTGGTGCTTCCTCCAGTGGGGCTTCTAGAAGGTTCTCCAAGGTATGAACCAGGTTGTAGCTTGTGGTTACCAGCTATAGTGAAGGGTATGCCAAGTGACTCTGGGCCATGATTTTTATCTGCGGGCTGCTCCCTCGCTCACTCCTATTTTTTTCACCGATCATTTCATTCCACAAAGCTTCACCTAGCGTCTCTAAGGCACCAGGGAGCACAGGATAAGGGGAGAACCCCGGGCGGGGGGCAGACAATGATGGAGAGAGAGAATGAGAGAGCGTATCATGAGAGTATCATATAAACAAGTCATTCCCCTGCAGAGGGCTGAGCAGGCAAGAAGGGGCCTCCGACCTCCATGGGGGGCTGAGGCAGGAATTCCCCAGGGAAAGCCCAGGAGAAGCTGAGAACCCAGCCTTTGAGAGAAGAAAGGCACTTAGAAACTGTCCGCTACGACTCTCCATGGGGAAGGGAGGAACCGGGAGGCCAGGGACACTGGAGGCCCTGGGTGCGGGCCTTGTGACTTCCTCTCCAGGGTGTTGTGTGTCTGTTTGTCTCTGTATGTCAGAGACATGCGGCAAGAGAGATGGAGTTCAGATGGTGGCTGCCAGAGGCCTCCCAAAGAGCCCGTTGAGAGCCTGCCCAACTATAACATGACAGGTAAGCAAATACTGCTTGAGGGGGACCTTTGGCCCCCACTTTCTGGTCATGCCCTTGTCAGCATCCATCTTCATATCTAGACAGCTGTAGGGGGTTTATCTTTACTCTCAAAAGCAACTTGCCGTTTAAAGAAATAAGATGAAGTCTGAGGAGCCTTATCTTACATAGGGACGTGCTTGCTAATTGAATGTGATTCCTGGAGCTGATAAGGGATTATTGTCAGGTTCTCAATTTCCTGTCCTTTTTCTGACTTCTACATCTTGGGTGTGTTGGAGTCTTCATAGCTGACATGCTCAAAAGTACTTCCCACCTCTCTGATGGGAATGCACAGTTTGTAAGGCATCTCCTGATGTCTGCTCTTGTTTGAGTCTCACAGCTGTGAAGCGAGAAGAACAAGGAAGAGGATACCCATTTTGCAGATCAGGAAACTGAGGCACAGTGAAGTCTGGGAACCTTCCCAAGATCACACAGCTGGGGTGAAGGGCAGAGGCTGGTTTTCCTCTGATCCCCCAAAGCCCTGGAAATCGGACCCTCGAGGTTTCCCAGATTTCAACCCTGGTGCTTGGGCATCAACGCAAAGGTGTTCAGCCAGTAAAATCCAAAAACTAAATGTGGTTATACCAAATGTGAACACCTGGGAAACCTCAGGGGCTTAGCTTCAAAGTGAATGCAAAGAAACAAAACCATTAAGCTACTGTCGGAAATAGATGTTGGAAACAGATGTTAGAAATAGATGTTGGAAATAGATGCTCGGTGCCGCAAAGGAAAGTTAGCACTGAGACAAAGGATCTTTCAGCAATGCAATTTTTACCTCCTGGGCATCAGGGATATCTTCACTAGCCATCTTGCCACAAGAGTACAAGGAACAAAGGAAAACACACAAATTTATCCCTTACACATTTGGGGTCGTCCTTACTGCTGTGTCTGATCTCCATTGGCTGGAGCTAGAGCTCACAATCTAAACTAAAACACGATTGGCTAACAACTTAAAATTTTCTTTTTTTTTTTTTTTTCTTTGAGAGAGAGTCTCACTCTGTCACCAGGCTGGACTGCAGTGGCGTGATCTCAGCTCACTGCAACCTCTGCCTCCTGGGTTTAAGCAATTCCTCTGCCTCAGCCTACTGAGTAGCTGGGACTACAGGTGTGTGTCACCACTCCCAGCTAATTTTTGTATTTTTAGTAGAGATGGGGCTTCACCATGTTGGCCAGGATGGTCTTGATCTCTTGACCTTGTGATCCACCCTCCTTGGCCTCCCAAAGTGCTGGGAATACAGGTGTGAGCCACCGCACCCAGCCCACAACTTAAACTTTTCTAGACAGGTAAAAGCAATGGAGAGCTGGAAAATGCCCATGAGCACATCCAGCACAGATACCTTGGTTAAAGCACAAGAACATAGAACATGCTACATGCCTGTAAGCATGGCACGTCTAACAGCTACATGGGGTAAGGCTTAACAAAGTCATTCACACACTTATTCTTTAACAAGAAAGAAAACTTTAAAAAGGAACTTCTCTACTTCCTACAGATACTGTTCAGTTCTGTTTTGTTCAGAACAGCTTTAGAAAAGTTATGATCACTTTAAGAAGAAGCCTACTGCAGGTGCCTATCAGGACAGGTAGCATCACAGAAACAGTTACTGCTTTTGTGAGGAACGAGGCCGAATGGTAATTGAGCATCGATTCTGTCTCAGGCTAGAAGTTTTCCAAGATTCTGCCCGGAATGCTAGGATAATCGAATATCCTTACATATATGCCTAGTGCCTAATGAAGCCTGGCACAGCAGAGAGAAAGAGACATATTTTAAATAACATTTTTCTGCTTATAAAAATTAATATATATGTGTTTGAATGAAGTTGGAAAATTACAAAAAATAAAGTGACAAAAACACATGGAATTCTACCAGTAAGAGATGTTTATTTTCAACATTTTGACATTTATCCTTATGCACCCAGGCTTAAAAAAAAATGAGATCATAGTGTATGTGATGATTTTTAGCAGCATTTCTCATTCAACATGTAGTGTCGACCTGCTATTTTATAGGGGCAAGAGAGCGTGTTGGTTAACATAATGGATTCTGGAATAGCCCCTCAAGCCGTGGGCAAGTTCTTAATCTCTTTGTGCCTCCATTTCTTCCTAAATCAAATGTGGATAAGAGCAGCACCTTTCTTAAATTCTTGTAGGAGTAAACCAACTAAATACGCAAAGGGCTTAGAACGGGGCCTGGCACGGAGCAAGTTTTCACTGAATATTTGATATTACTATTATTTCAGTAAAATTATTTAAGCCTCCCCCACTCAGCCCCACTGCTTACTTTGTACTGGGCATTTTTCACGGTCTTTTCACACATGTTGTCACATTGAATTTCCAAATGATGCCAAGAAATTGATATTGCCTCCCATTTCACAGTTGTTAAAACTGAAACTTGGAGCAGACAAGTCACTTGCCAAGTCATGTGGGGATCAGCAAAGCCAGGATCAAACCCCTTCGGGTCCTGTATGACCCCCAGGTCCTTGGACTGTGCCTGGACCACCCTGCTCCGGATCTCAGCTCTGAGCAAACCAGAACAGCCCTGAGGATGCGGCCATTGATTTGTCTGGCATTGATTGTTGCTGCTTCCTAGGGCCATGTATGCAGGGAAGGAGGCCTTTTCAGTCCGTTTTGTAACCTGCCACGTACCTCCAATTATTTTAAACCAGCTGCTGCCTCTCCCTAAAGCTTCCTTGGTCAGCTGGGTCTGAGATTCCTCCAAGAGCAACCCTTTCTCCAGTGCCTGGTAGATTCCCAGCATTCCATAAATGCTTGCACAATTGAGCTGAAACTTTACATATTTAGTTTGTTTACTCCTGCAAGAGTATAAGAAAGGTGCTTCTCTTGTCCCCACTTTCTTTAGGAAGAAATGGAGGCACAAAGGGATTAAGAACTTGCCCACGACTTGAGAGACTATTCCAAAATCCGTTATCTTTATTTTTTACTTTTAAAAAATAAACGTTGGTAATTGGAGGCACTTTGGGAATGAAAGCAAGACCCAAGAAAGACAAAGAAAGGAAATGAGGTATTTTGTTAGAGAAGACTTTGAACCTCCACCCCAAGGAGTACCTAGTAAAAGTGAGAGGAGGTGGAGTCCCACAGTAAATTGGAAAAAGCTTTGGTCCGAGACCAGGCCAACCTCAGTTCTGATCCCTGTGTGACCTTGAGTGAATTTCTATTTCCCTCAGCATCCTCTGTACAGTGGGGACAAGGCTGCAGTGAGGACAATGGGAGAGAATGTGTCTGGAGTGTCTAGCATGTGTCGGGCATGAGTTTAGACTTTTTTTTCTTTTTTTCTTTTTTGAGACGGAGTCTTGCTCTGCCACCCAGACTGGAGTGCAGTGGCACGATCTCGGCTCATTGGAAACTCTGCCTCCCAGGTTCAAGTGATTCTCCTGCCTCAGCCTCCCAAGCAGCTGGGACTACAGGTGCCTGACACCACACCAGGCTAATTTTTGTATTTTTAGTAGAGATGGGGTTTCACCATGTCGGCCAGGCTAGTCTTGAAATCCCAAAGTGCTGAGACTAGAAGCGTGAGCCACCGCACCCGGTTGAGTTTAGACTCTTAAGAACAGAAGGCTTGTCTTCTGTGTTGTAGAAATTGGTGCCCTTAATTTCTAGAAGAGTAT